AGCAAAGAAAAAGAACATATATATAATAATTTAATTGGTATTTGCAACATTTTTCCAGTTAAAATTAATTTTAAAATTCCTGTGATGGTCAAAAAAAAATCCTCACAGTAACACGTGATAAGAAAGTAATTACTGAAGGTTTTATGATACTGCATGGAAGTAGAGTATTGTTAAAGTTGTATATGCTCACAATAAAATGATCCAATCAAGGTATTCAAGAAAGATATGTAAATCACACCATTGCAACCTGAGCCTTATAAAGAATATATCTTACTGGAATTGAAAAGTCAWAGTCAGAATTTAGAAAAAAAACAGATTTTATTGCATTTTTCTATGTATATTTGATGTTTAATGAAATTATCAAAATATGTTTTTTTCTTTTTTTTTTTTTTTTTTCACAAAACCCCTCATTCACTCTATGGGTTGATTTGATGATGTTCATTTAGTGCACAGCTGTTCCAGATTTTGTTTCTTTTCATTGTTCTCCATATTGTCCATGCTTTATTATTACATGCTATTCAAGCTCTCTTCTAAAGAGTCAGATAGAAGGTAATTACCAAGAGGATGCATTATTGTCCTTAAGACATCCTTTAAAGTCCCAGATGTTCCAGATATATTAATTGTTAGTACATAAAGGCACAGATTCTTACCCTACTTTTAATCATCAAAGACCCTGCAGACTGTAAAGAATAATTATMCTGAAAGGACCTAGAATAAGCGATAGAATTCAACTCCTGACATGAGATAACTTGTATCTTCCAGTAAAGAGACATGATATGTCCTTTTAGAACTCGCTTGTGASTTTTATCCTGCTTTTTTTGACTCTTTCACTCCTATGGTTTATATCTGTTAGTTTTCAAAGACTATTATAAACTCACTGTTTTTCATGGAGATTATTAGCCTATTATTGAACAGAAAGTCTGAAAATAAAGAAGAGAAATCAAGCAGTATGTGAATGATTCATGTAAGTTTTTCCATTATGTGCTATCATCCAGTCAGATATGCTTCATGCTGACTGATACTTGGATTGTCTTTGAGGAACAAAATATAGTGTATCATTAAATTCATAGGTCGTTCTCCTCCATATAGGGTAATGCTGGTCAATCAGTGCAGATTTAATGGTTGTTCTATACTGTTGGAAATGCTGCCTTTCCCAATGAGTTGTAGGTCTAAACATTTTCAGCTCAACATTTTCAGCAATGAAAAAGTTTTTGCATTTTTGTAAAGAATGAGTTGATGCAAAACTATAATGTTCCAATGATTGTTTGGAGCAATAAGATTCAGATGTAAAATACTACTTACCTCTGAAACTTAAATCCATTATCACTTTTACATTTAAATTTACATTACTCAGAACTATTCCCTTGCAGCTCTTTTTGGATCTGTCAGTCTTTTAGACTTTTTTTCTTATTATTCTATAGACCAAAACCAATGTAATAAAGCCAATTAAAATTATTATTGTAAGACTCAGAGGTTCTATAGTCACATTGCAGAAATAGAAGCAGTTGTAGAAGMAACTATACAGCTGAAAGCTTGTACCACAGCAACTGCAGAGCACCTCCGGATTTGCTGAACCAAAGCAATACAAACTTTCTTCACAGCATAAATCCTTTGTATATTCAAATGCACTGGAACTGGTGTGTCTGAAAGCAGGTGGAAATCCTCTAGAAAAAAAAAAWAWTTGCCCCTATTTTGCTTCTCTTTTTGTCTGTGTTTTTCTTAGCATCTAGTTGTGTTTTCAGACTGAACACAATGAACAGTGAAATACACAAGAATGATGCCACAGTGCTTATGAACTCTTTGATGTATCTTTTGCATGAATACACTACTATGTTCCTTTACTTCAAGCAAGTCAGTTAGAAGGTGATAGTAGTTTCTATAATGTCACTTTTTAAATAGCTTTTTGTGATTCACTCTAGTCTAATGTGTTCTGCCAAGCCTCCACAGGACATGGTCACTACAGGAGTTGTTTAGGTGACACATCAGATAAAAATAAGTCTCTTACCTGTTAGATATTCACAAGTACATCACTCATTCATGCAAACTTCAATGAAACATCTGTCTAATCTGTGATTTAATCTCCTGTTGRTCTAACTGAAAAATCTTTGCAATGTCACACTCTAAAGTAGAAGCTTCAAAGAAATGCTGGTTGCCCAGAACTGCAAAAGAGGTTTTTCCTTCCTGTGTACCGTAAAATAGTCTTAGAAATAAAAGTCAAAGTTTTTGCCACCGATACAGTCAGGATCCAGGCAATGGTTGTGCATTTAGCTGCAGGTATAGGGTACATGTAAAAGGAGATAGAGAGGGGAGAAGGTAGGACATAATGTAGAGCTTAATCAGCAAAATAATCTGAGATGCTTGAAATGAGCTCCCCACCCTGACACTTCTCAGCTCCAAAATCCAATTCCTATACATTGCATCAGGCTGCCTTTTCATTTCAACTTCTCATTCTGCATCTGTAGGACTGTAGGACTACCTCCTTTAGACTGCTACCGTATACACTGAAATAACTCAGAAGTTTCTGAGGCCTGGCCTTGACAACTCTATCCAGAATACATAAACTGATTGCTTCACTTTTCCTGAAATAATGCTGCACATGATAGATGTGCATATTCCTAATTAAATTCAGAATACAAGATTTTAAACTAAATACTTACTTTAATGTTAATATAAGCATTAAAACTCATTAGTCTGCACAATCTTTTTTACAGTTTTGTGCTCCTTTTGCTTTTCCTCCTTGAAGTGATATCACCAAGTAGGTGTGATATGAAGCTGCTTTGCTCTCCCATCTGTTTGTCAGATTTCTCCTTGCAGAGCTCCTGGAGAGGGATTTTTCCTTTAGGTTAGATAACCTCTACAATGCCAAATCTAGAATGCATAAACTAGACTCAATATGAGTTCCAGATATATGAGATGAATCCTACCCTGGGAGTGACTGTTTCTGTCCACTGACTGAAGAAAGCTCAGGTTGTATCAGTTTGCTATCTCTAACATCCAAAGTTAAATGAGATGAATTGTAGCTACTCTATCTTCTTTCAGCATATAACATAGGCTTATTAATAGCTCAGGTCTCTGTGAAAGAAGGCTCAAGATCCTGTTCAAAGTTAGATATTACAGGTAAGACACATTAATATGAGAGGATAGAACATGTGACCCTTATTCAGAGAGACACCACAGCAAGAAGGCAGGCATGGAGGAATATTCAAAGTATTTATCTAAGACATCTACCAGTACTTTTATTAGGACTCTTATTAGGACCTGTGCAACAGGTCCACACTTTCAAGGGTTGAGAGAAAGCATTTCAAAGCCACACAATAGGGAAGAATGAGCAGTGAGATGTGTTTAATTAGACTTACACTTCTGTGCGTGTGTTTCCGTGCATAGACGAGGCACAGTACAGTAGAGATTGAAATACATTTCACTTTTATATTAATCAGTAGTAAAATTAATCTGGGAAAGTTAGCTAGATTTGAAAGAAACAAAACCACAAATACAAAATCTGTCTTTATTCTGTTAGAATCTCTTTCTTCCATTTTGGAAATCAAATGACAAGCACTAAGGAAAAGGTCGTAATTTTTTTTTATGGTAATTGTGAAAGTAAGCATATTAGACTGAAGCATAGCACTTTTTTACTGCTTGAAAGATATTTGAAATAGGTGATATTTTGCATCAATCATGAAATCATGTAGGCTGTAATCAGGAAGATTGCATCAAGGGGTACTTGAAGAGACTGAAATACCCAGAGAAAATATACAATAGTAGGGTATAAAGTGTCTAGTGTCACTCAGAACAAACATCTCTTTGAATTGCTGCTTGAGATGGCTCTCAGAGACTGTGTGCTGCTGCTGTGAGCAGCAGCAAAAGTACATCACTGTCCTTAAAAGACATGTCTGGATTTGCTAAGGTGAGAATTCACAGGTCAGATTCTTTAGTGTAGGATGCCTAGTTATAAACAAAATGGGAAATACATATGAGAAAATATAGAACATTTTTAGAAAAAAAAAGGTACAATAAAGAATATACCTGTAATAAGCACATAGAGGAAAATCAGACCTTAAGTTTTACAGTGTGGGAGAAAGGAAGTCATATTCATTTTTTTTAACTTTATGCTGAAATATCTGTGACATGAACTGGACAAACAGTCTCCACTCTTCCATAACACAATTCATGTTAAAATAAAACTTTTTTATCCAGTATGTCCTCATATTCCAAGACCTTGTTCAGTATGAGCTGGAATGAAAAATTATGCTAATGACAGAAACTACACACATTTTTTAAGCACTGCAACTTAAAGAACTGTTGTTCTTTAAGTGTGTGACCTCTTTTCTGATTTATTAGAGGACAATATTGCATCTCACTCCAAAGAGCAAATCTGTTTAGAATTTAACCCCCAACCCATGTAAAATCTTGTTAACAAGAGTCAGACWGTTTGGATAGTTGTGAATTTTTTGGAAATGAACATTAGAAAGTTAATGGTATTTATATGATGCATGGTAGTCACTTTTTTTTAAGTTAGCAAAGTTATAGAAATGAAATAAAGCATGAAATATATTCACAAAGGATTCCTTTAACAATACACACTAAATCTGCATAAAGTTATACCTTGTCAGAGAGTGAAGTGATTAGAAACTCTCAGCTATTATTGTTCTTACTCCTCTTTTATAGAATGCTAAAATGTGAAAACTAGTATTTTAAGCAAYTAAATATTTATTTCTCAATAAGTCTTTAGATTAAATATAATTTGAAGCTTAGAAATCTCTAATAAAGAAAAAAACAGAAACATACAGTTTTTATATAGATAATGAAATAAGCACAGAATGTGAAGAAATTTCATTAGAAGGATATGCATTTGAAATATGAAAACAGCACAGAATACAGAAGATTATGCATCTGGAGAAAGTAACTGCAGTCGGAGCAGCCTGCACAGTTCTCGTTGGTATTCTTGTCTAGGTCTGCATCTTTGATGTAGCCTTTACGTGCACCAGCAGGCTCGCTTCAGCAGGCTGCCCACTCCTCTCTGAGTGTCTTCAAGGCATATTTAATCTTTGACCTCAGAGAGAAAGTTGGTCAAGGCAGAATCTCCAATGAATTTGTATTCTATGAATCCTAGTAAAAATGGTACATTTTTACATTTGTAAATGTACACAGTAAAAATGTACTGTGTACAGGTACTGTGGGGGGAAAGGACACCAGGGCTTATGCCCCAATCTGAAGAGAGTAGGTGCCTGGGGATAGAGATGGGGTCGGATGTCCTGTGGCCAGGCAAGAGCCAGGTTGCAGCACTGCAGCACTGCAGGGCAGTGATTGATGGCCCTGAACTGGGCTGAGATGAGACTCTAGAAAAATTAGAAAAAATCATAATTCTCTGAGCTTGCTGGAAAAAAAAATAAAGACTGCTCACATTTTAAGAAAAAAAATATGCCAGAATAACTTCCCAGAGTTATTATCCAAATGACATTCAGGGACAAAAATTCTGTATCTCACTACAGAAATTAGGTAAGTCGTAACAGACAGCAGTCTGTGGCAGAGGGTGTGATGAAGGTATGATCTCCAGTAGATGCATGTAGTATTTTAAAAGCACACAAACAAGATATGAAAGGGAATAAAAAAAAAAAAAGGAGAAATAGGGGCACATGCTTTCCTGAAACAGGAAATAAAGTATTGTATCTTCAGAGATAGTTAGAAAATATCTTCTGTCAGATTACAGAGGAAACAAGCAAAGTCACAAGCTGAAAACTAACCTTGAGTTCGCTTATTCAGTGGTGTGCATATAAACACACTGCTAGTTGTGATGGCCTTAAAATCAGGCTGTGTCTTCCTGGGCATTTCTTTAGCCATTTAGTCTTTCTTTCTGTAAGTTATCCAGGTTTGAGGGCAAAAAAGTGGGCAAAGACAAGAGAGGAATTCACTGGTAATATTTGGAAACTTGACATAAGAGAAATATGTAAGAAAAAAAAAAATCTCCAAAAGTGCTGAAATGAAACTTCCAGGTAAAAACAAGACGACACGTGGTGGTGCCTTCTCTCATAGGCAATGCGATTTCCAAGGTTTCAAACATGTGAAGAAAAATGCCTGGGGATCCCTATCTTCACATCTGTAAGCTGGGTTAAATTCTCAGAAGGATACAGAGTAGTCTTTTAAAATTGGAAATCTATGAAATCAAAATTCTAGCACACTGGCAGTCTCCATGGGTAGGTCAGAATCACCTTAAAAGAGACAGAAATGGACACTGTCAGAGTTCTGGGCTGACAGCAGCAAAAGGGAGTTTCCACGAAATTTAAGTAGTTTGTAAATTGCTGGCTAAATTCAATGAGTCATATCATGCCGTCATATTTTAAGTATTATCGTACAGAAGATATTTGATTTTCTTTGAGAGTTAGTGTATCAGTATTGGATAATGCTAACTTAAAGTGAAATAAAGTTTATTTTTTTTAATAAAAAATTATTTAATAAAAATAAAAAGATTTTCCATTAGTTTTCATATCAAGTGACACAGATCAAATAGTATGGAGATTTTCATCCAGAGGCTCTGTGTTTAGCTTTACTTTTAGAAAGAAAATAAATTAAAAGCTTATAAATGATTGCAATCATTAGGTAAGATGTACGGAAATTCATCTAAGTATATCTAGCCTAGTTGGTATTTCAAGAATATGGAATAACTGAAAAACAATTATTATTAGAGGAAAGCTTCCGCTTCTTTCCTCAAAGAGTAAATAAAGCATATTTACTAATCAAAGTCAATAACTGATAGCATCATATATAATTATGTTTACTGCCCAAAGCAATACTTACCCTAATAAAATTGCCCTGAGGAAATTAAACTGCTTATTTTCTTYGCATCACAATTACAAGCTTTAGTTATATTGTTGTAGCTTTCTTCCTATGACCCAAAGGTTTTGTACTGGATTTAGGATTGATAATCAGTCTTTAGCTTTCTGAAAATAAAGATTGTATCAAAAATGAAAAATAATAATAAAAAAGTTAGTAAACCACTACTTTCAGGTTTTCTTTCCATCTACTTTGTAGATTTTTTTTTCATTTTTTTCTCTTTTTTAATGAGTGTTTTTTTTCCCACAGCCCTTCTCAAACCTGAAATAAGAAAATTCCTTTCAGAGATGATTCTAAGTACTTGCCAGATCTGTTAGCAAAATATACTAAAGACTTCTTCTTTTCTCCCAAAAGAGTAAAGGAATTGTTAAATCTGATGATAGAGTTTGAATTATAGATCCTTTTATATCAATTTTTCATCTGTTCCTTCTTCCTCTAAACATAAACTTTATCTGTTATCATATCATTGTTAATCATGCCAAAAATAAAAATGTAATATACTTGTCTTACTCAAATGCATATTCATAAACAGTTGGCTAGTTGCAAAATGTTTATTTTTCAAGCAAGATATCATGAAAGCCTTTAACCTTCAGCAGCATATATATTTAATGACATAAATGAAAGAAGATGACATTAAAACTTCAAAGTAGCAAAGATGATACATTTACAATCATGCTGTCAAAGTGAGATCTACAAACAGCGTACTAGCACAGCTTTTTAATTTATATATATTTTCTTCTCAAATAATATCTAATTCTGCTGGCACTTCATATCCACCAAATGCCATTAAAATACCATGACAAAGATATGTGAAATTTTGGTAACTTGGTGTCTCAATTCAATAAAATTAAAGAGTTTTTTGATATTTTTCTCAGAATGCCCAAATATACTTGAAAGACTAGCATGATAATATGGTTAATCATGTTTATGACATTGTATCAAAAGTCTTTGCATACAAAATTAATGCTAAATGTCATTGAATTCCTTCAGGTCAAGACTCTGTGTAAAAACTGTTCAACTGGTTGCCAGCCAACACTCCTAGATCATTTTATGACACACAACTTTCCAGTCACTCTACACCAAGCTTGTAGTTTGCATGGAGTTGTTGTGACTGAAGTGCAGGATCTGACACATGGCCTTGTTGAACCTCATGTGGTTGACCTCAGCCCACTGATTGTCCAGATCTCTCTGTAAATACTTCCTACCCTCAAGAAAATCTACACTTCCTCCCAGATTGGTGTTATCTGCAAATTTTCTGAAGATTCACTCAATCCCCTCCCCCAGATTTAAAAGGACTGGACCAGAAGTTACCCTTGGGGGTCATTGCTCATGACCAGTCATCAGCTGAATTTAACCTAATTCACCACCACTCTCTAGGCCTGTCCATCCAGCTAGTTTTTCACTCAGCGAGAAATCTACCTATCTAAGCCATGAACTGACAGCTTCTCCAGGAGAAGACAGTGGGAGACTGTGTCAAAGCCTGAAGTCTAAGTTGACCAGGACCATAGCCTTTCCCTCATCCACTAGGCGAGTCATCCATTCATAGAAGGAGACCACRTTGATCAGTCAGGACCTGCCTTTCATGAACCTGTGTTGACCAGGCTTGATCCCCTGGTTGTCACAC